AGAGTATTTTACCAGGCTATATAATCCAAATTCCCCATAAAGCCATACCATTTCTTAAAGAAGACATCCCAGGGTATTTCAAAAGGCATATTTTGAACCTTAGCGTGGGATCATTTTTCCGCTAGCTTGTACCAAGTGTAGTGGTAATAAGCATTTTTCTGCCTTTTTGACATACAAAGTGAGTTTGCGCAGCATATTTTGCAAACCTTATGTGTACTATGACTGTATAATACTTCATATGTTGCTCAGCTATGTCGGCTGAGTACAGCAATACCCCCGTATGTACCTTTGCCAGGTATATGTGGATGTTGAAGGGGCGCATTTGAGACGCAGCCATTCAGTTTTTTCTAACTTTGAAGTTTTACGCTGTGTCCATGTTCCAATTTGGAGTAGTTTAGACGGTTGGTTATTGAAACTTCCCCACAAACACATACTATTTATTAAAGAATACACCCTGGGGTAATTCAAAAGGCATATTTTGAACCTTGGCGTGGGATAATTTTTTCTCTAGTTTGTTCCAGGTGTAGTGGTAATGAGCGTTTTTAAAATGTATTTTTTTACTTTTTATAACTTTTTTACTTTTAAAAACTAGTTTTTAAACTTTTGTTTTGCTTATAAATTTTTTTTAAACTTTCCTAAACTTTCTTAAAACTTTTTTACAGATTTAACATTTTTCTAAGCTTTTTTTTTTTACCGTTAACCCCTAACTAGCAGTACGCAGCACTAACAGTAAATTCCCCATTTTCCCATAACTCCCACCCACCCCAGCTAGCAAAATATATAGTTATAAAATATTTAAATTAATTAATTAAATAAATTGAACCCCTGAGGGTTAAAAAAATGAATAAAAGTTAATCCTCAAGGGTTAAAAAAAATTAGATCACAGTATAATACTGTGATCTCTATTTGATCGCTGTAGGCAGTGATCGACTGGCAGGGAAGGGGTTAATTTTTATTTGGACTAGGTAAAGTGTGTTTTTTTTTGTTTTTTTTACTTAAATGTTATTAAAACATTTTTTAAGTTTAATTTTTAACTTTTTAAAGTTTCTTTTAAAACTTTTTTTTGACGTTAACCCCTAGTTAGCCTAACGCCAAATCCCCCAATTCCCCACTAACTTCCACCCACCCCAGCTATCTAAATATATAATGTAAAAATAATTTAATTAATTAATTTAATTTAACCCCTGAGGGTTAAAAAAAAAAGAATTAACCCTCAGGGGTTTAAAAAAAAAAATCAGATCATAGTAAAATGTAATCCCTGCCAATTGATCACTGTAGTCAGTGATCAATTGGCAGGGAAGGGGTTAATTTTTTATTAAAATGGGTAAGGGGGGGGACACTTTAAATAAACTTTATTTTTTTAACAGCAGGGGGCAGGATCAGCACTGATCCGGCTCCCTGCACTTCACACAGAACCCGGAAGTGCAGGGAGCCGGTAGGTGAGTATACAGAGCACATGTGCTCGCTCAGACTTGTGGTCAGAGCGAGCACATGTGCTGGGCAGCTTGACCGGGTGCTCCCGGTATGCCTCCAATGCAGAGGCATACCGGGAGCACCATTAACCCCGCGATCGCGGCGATCCGGGGTTAATTTTACCGCGTGACGGACAAGGTCCGTCACCCGTCGTTAAGGGTCTCCCCTGTGTGACGGACCTCGTCCGTCACCCGTCCTGAAGGGGTTAAAATATCTACAAAATATCTCTCTATCTATTCATCAGAACATGAGCTCAAAGCAACAGCTTGGAAGTCTAGGGGTATTTATAAAACTTATTAATTAAGCTGGCAGAAACATGCAGTAATTTCCTAAAGCACTTCAGTTTCCTTGTTTGGAGTGTTCCTTTAATAACAGGACAATTAGAGGACACTTGTCATGCAACTGACAACTTATGCTCCTTTTAAAGAGCATTACATTCTGTCTATACATTGTGTTAGCAGATTTGCTAGCAAATGTAAAAATGCATGGTAGGAAATATTTAGCATAAATAACTTAGGCAGCGCAAAAAAACGGGTTGCAAGAGTATACTGAGAACAGACAGCAGCTGAAATAGCCTGCCCTTCGGTGGGTCCCTGCTCAGATCTCAAGCTGGTTTTAGCTCATCTTGAGCCATTACAGAGAGAACATATCTGAAGCATATCAGACTGGTCCCACCCATACGGGCAGTCCAGATCCGAAATGCCAGCAAGTTCCCTCTGCACGAGAGACACCGCAACCCCAGATGATTGTTTCAGCCTTGTTAGGCATCAGTGAGTCATAGCTGATATCTCTCTAGCTTGAGTTCTGAGCAGGGTCCCACCGAAGGGCAGGCTATTTCAGCTGCTGTCTGTTCTCCGTATACTCTTGTGACCCATTTTTTTGCTCTAAATAACTTTGGCTACACAATAAACACAGACACAGTTAATTTATATTTCAGTGTGCTTGGTCGTGGTGTTTATTCAATGTTAAAAGGGTTTATTACCATAATACCATAGTGATGAACATATTCACATAAACTTTTAACTTAACTTTAAAACTTATTTTTTTACTTTCACTACGACCATGTTGCCAGTCAGTCTTAACTAACCTGACTGCATTTTATTTCACACAATTTACCACCATATCCTTCCTCTGGATTTGCACCTGATGATGGCTTTTGTCCCAGTGCTTTATAACACCACAATGATAAATCTAAAGGAATAATTTAAAGTGTGAGTGAGGGCTGAGGTCCGTCCGTGTAGCTCCTCACCTGAAAATGTTGACTGCTTGCGCTGCTTACGTTTATACTTTCCTGGCTTCCCACGCTTGTCTGGCTTGCGGCCTTCATCCAATCTAAAGCCATCTCTTGTCCCCAGCAATAGTGGTGTCGCTGCTTCTCTCACTCTGCCCAACAACTTAAACAGGGGTCATGAACTTCACCAGACTTTTAAACTTAATATCAAGGGCATCTTTAACTTTACATTGCCACCATACATATATGCCACGTTGCTTAAAGGAACACTATAGTCACCTAAATTACTTTAGCTAAATAAAGCAGTTTTAGTGTATAGATCATTCCCCTGCAATTTCACTGCTCAATTCACTGTCATTTAGGAGTTAAATCACTTTGTTTCTGCTTAATGCAGGCCTAGCCACACATCCCCAGGCTATGATTGACAGAGCCTGCATGAAAAAAAAAACTGTTTTCACTTTCAAACAGATGTAATTTACCTTAAATAATTGTATCACAATCTCTAAATTGAACTTTAATCACATACAGGAGGCTCTTGCAGAGTCTAGCAAGCTATTAACATAGCAGGGGATAAGAAAATCTTAATTAAACAGAACTTGCAATAAAGAAAGCCTAAATAGGGCTCTCTTTACTGGTGTTTATGGAAGGCTGTGCAAGTCACATGCAGGGAGGTGTGACTTGGTTCATAAACAAAGGGATTTAACTCCTAAATGGCAGAGGATTGAGCAGTGAGGCTGCAGGGGCGTGTTCTATACACCAAAACTGCTTCATTAAGCTAAAGTTGTTCAGGTGACTATAATGTCCCTTTAATGCTTGTGAAAAAACTTTTTTTTATTTATAATTCTTTATTTTTTCGTGCATGGGTTAATTTAACAGAACGTCACGCTATGCCCCAACAGCAGTAGCATGCTTCGAAGTTGACAATGCATAACCTTTGTGGCAAAATGAACAAATGCACTTTTTTTTGTGTGTGTGTGTGTGTAAAGGTTTGTAAACGAGAGTAAAATAATAGTCAGTGGTGTGAGAGCACAACAGACGATAAACATTCAAGCTAGACCGGCTGACTATGTGAGTGAGGTTATCTATTCTGTAGCTTTCTGTTGTGTGGTACTTGTTAAGGCACAGTATTTGTACATTGTGTGAGTTGCAGGCTATAAACTTTAGTTAATTGTGCTAGAGACACTAAGCTACCTACGCCAACCATAATTTTGAGTAAGCTGAGAAGATTTACGATACTGTAAATGGCTAGGTATGCTAGTCTAACGTATATGTTAAGCGTGAGGTGGCAGACCTAGACCGGAGAGTGCTCATGGATATGCTAAGTAATAAGCTAGTACAATACTATTAAGTCCCCTGGGGTCCCCCAGGCTTAAGTCCTTCTCTGGACCGGTCGGCAGGATGATGGTCTTATTCCCGGTATCATATTGTGGTGTAATGTGCTGTCAGGTCTCCCGATCATATAATCAGGGGTGCAATGCGCTTTTGGCGATTCATCCGATGCCTCGTAGGGGCTGTGCAGCGACCCGCCATGGGTGCCCGTGCGGTAGCGTTTCGATGCAATGACTCTCCGGGCATGATAGGAGTCGGTGAGATGGGTCGTTTGGCTGGGGTAGGACTGCCCCTAGGATGGAGGGTGCGCTAGGTGTGACAGAGCTTGGTTTCAACTGTATTCTCCTTTTCGCCGCTCTTTGCCGGTGAGATGCCTGTCTGGCTCTCCTCCGCCTTCCCGCTATTTTGGGCCGCACCAGGACTGTTGGTTGTAGCTGTGGGGCGGGCAGGGTGAGCAGCTTGAGGTGGGCGCCTGTCGTGCTCTCTGCCGCAACCTGCGCTCCATTTTGAGCCAGAAGTCCGTGAAGATTTGTTCCAGGCTGGCCAGTGAGCCTTGTTGCATTGCATGGCAGCCTGCAGGCCGCATGGTCTCCGCCATCTTTGGAGGGTCTCTCAGCCCTCCGCCTGGTTTCCCCTTCGTTTCTGCCCTGTCTGGGAGGACTCCCAGGGATGGACCCAGGGCTCCAGTTCTGTGCGCTCCAGGCCGGATGCCCTCGCAGGTATTGTCTGCTGTCCATCGTTCCCCTCACAGGCCACATCACCAGTTGGGGTCATTTTTTGCCGTTTATTGTGGTTAGAGGGTGCCTTTTCATCCGTTTTTGCAAACATCTGTAGGGAGCTTCAGTTAGGCATGTTTTCCCTCCATGACAGTCAGGCCCTGCCCCCCGAAAAAACTTTTTAAAGATCGTTAATTCTCTCACATATCAGTAAATTATTCTGCATTCTTCTCCGACATTATGCCATAGAAATGGCTGATAAGGTACGGCAAAAGAGACCTCCCTCCCGGCTGTGTAACTCCGCCAGCCACACTTCCTCTAGCTATTGACTCTATCCAAACTCTTTCCCCAGAGTTCAAACGCAGTGATTTATAAACTTTTTATCAGTGTGTTGCCTTTATACAGACATCAGCCCGAAGAGTGATACAGGGAAATGCACCCTAAAGCCAATCAAGATGTGGTAGAGGGTGAAAGTAAGACTGATATTGAGGGATTGGCACCCATATTTATACCAAGAAAACTCTCTTAACATACAATGGTGAGACATACAGTACATTATTTACATTGGAACTTCACACTGCAGGGGGTCATGAGTAGAACAATAGTGAGATTCCTGCCTACAAACAATATTAATTGATTTGCTAAAATAACATACACTACCATCCCATCAAATCAAATTTTAAAACAAACAGGATTTTAAATGTAAATGGAGGTCCAGGTGGAAAAAAAGTAATTAAAACCTTCTCTCTAAGCATAGCAGCCACCGTGCATGTTCTGTAGTTGCTATGGTAACTCCCCAGCCAATGCTGCCAGCGCTGGCTGGGGAGTATAGGTACAGAGTGACTGACGTTACCTGTTCAAATGCTGGAAATTACTCCGGCATGTTGGCGGCACAGCGTAGGTTTGCTCTGTTTGAAGAATTGTCTCCAAGCAAGGCAAAGCAAAGAAGACTGCAAATGAGGGCTGGCATTTGTTATTACAAAAGTTAAGTGAAGAACCACAAACAAACTTTGACATTGTCCTGATGCCATCAGATGATTTCACAAATCACATAAAGTTACATTGTCTTCTCTATAAGCATCAAACCGGAACAGACACAGCACAAAACACATGCTATACTCTGACTGTTATACCTTAGTTTAAATGAAGTGTCACTATTTGAAAACCATGCCTTGGTTACCCATGTTGTGCTAGGATGGTTTGGAAAAACGAAATGTTATATATTCATTCCTACATACTAATGTCACTGTTTTGACTCTCATTCACTCTTATTCACTCTTATGAGACTGCCCTGATTAAAGTTACTAATTAATTCTTCTTGTCCTCTCATGCCTTTCACACTGTTGATCATGTTCTTCTCTAAACTCTCCTATTCCTTGGTCCCTGCAACACTGTCTTTTCATGGTTCTCCTCCTAACTCTCCCAAATGTTCGTTCAGTGTGTCCTTGTCGAATGAGGACTCCTCCCCTCTTCCTGTCTCTGTTCTTGCTCCCCTTCTTGTCTTTCTGTATGTCATCTCTCTTGGCAAACTCATTAATTATTTTAGCTTCGACTACCCCCTGCTCATTCCACCTTAAAAACATTGCCTGCATCCGCACTTTTCTTAAGCAAGATGCTTTCCTAACTGGTCTCCCCAGAAGCCGTACTGCCTGCTACAATTTGTAATGAATGCTGCCGCCCGGCTGATCTTTCTCTCCGGCCGCTCCTCTAACACCTCGCTCCTCTGTCAATCCTTACACTGTATCCTATAGGTGTCAATTCAAAATACTAACCCTTACCTATAAGGCTCTTAATAACTCCTGTTACATTTCTTCACGGATTCATAGGTATGCCCCTTCTCAGTTTCTCTTCTCTGCCGGTGACCTTCTCCTGTCAAGCTCACGTTTGCAGGACTTTTCAAAGGCGGCTTCTCAGACTTTCCTCTAGTATTTAATTGTTAAAGAAGTTCTTCAAAACCCATCTGTTTAGAAATGCTTATGGCCTCACAAAGTAACTTCTATGTCTCAAATCTGTCTCTGGCTCTCTCCTAAAGAGACACACTCCACTCTCACATCCACTTGTGTTTTTTCCACCTTGTTTTTTGTTGTCCCCTTTGATGCCCTTCCTATTATGTTCTTATACTGCACTCCTTTACGCTGTAAGCTCGTCTAAGCAGGGTCCTTATCTACTTATTGTTCCTGTATCATTTATTGTTAAATTTCCCACTTCTATAATCTTGTAAAGAGCTGTGAAATAAGTTGACGCTATATAAATACCAATAATAATAGGTCAGTTCTCTGATTTGCATAGTGACTTGGGAATCATTCAAAATAAGTAGTATTCTGAGCAAAGGGGCAATTGTACTTTATTGAAGGATATTTGTTCCTAGATTGATGGTAACAGAGCAGTACCACCATTAGTGGGAAATGGCCACAATCAATGTATTTTACATTGTGAACAAAGATTGAATGAGTCTGGGAAAATCTTATGAAGCCTTTCTAGACAAAATATAAACATTACTCTTTCACAGAAACAGTAATGTTTTACATTGCCAGGAAAAAGGGTCGTTTTTCCTTCGTTAAAATGTCTTTATGAGTCTGTGTTCTTCAAAAATGTGGAAGTCGCTGGATAAAAAGTAATATTATCTCTCATTATATTTTTAAATGTAAGAGATCAGTGATATTTTATTATTAATTACCCCACCTCCCTTTTTTTATGGATATCCAGGTATTTAGGTGTTCATGTTCATGTATTTCAGCTTTCTTCCTCTCAGTATTTAAGTATTGTGAAAAAAATTCAAGAAGTTGTTTGTAACAAGCAAGAGTCTGGTAGTTTTGGAGTCATCTGCCCAGTAAAAGGTCAGCAGTGCATTGCCCAGTATGAAGATGAAGACTGGTATAGAGCAGAAGTTGTTGGTAAGAACAATGTGTATGTTTAACTAGTTCACAATAGCTCATGTTGTTATGTGTGTGTGTGTATATGTTATTTATGTTTGAGCAATTGTTCAACTGTGAAGGTGAAAGGAGGGTTCTCGCCATGGAGGGAGGAGATGGGGAGGAAGAGAAAGCATGCTCTAAAGGCGCACTCCAGACCTTTAAAAAACTTCAGCTGCGAAGAATTTGTTCTCTTTTTTTTTTAAATCTTACAGATAATAGAAATTGACACTTTTTTATAAATCTTGTTACACCTGACAGCTGGTCCTGTTACTTCCTGGTTCCTTAGCTCAGTAGAGCTAGAGGGAGCAATTTCCCAGAGCAACTACCTTGCAAAGACTTCTCATTGAGTTGAATTGGGGAATCTAATTGGACAGCCACAGAAAGTCTGGGCTGGGTTCGAAGGGATTATTATTATGATATTTATATAGCGCCATCAAATTCCGCAGCACTTTACAATGGGTGGACGAACAGACATGTAGTTGTAACCAGACAAGTTGGACACACAGGAACAGAGGGGTTGAGGGCCCTGCTCAATGAGCTTACATGCTAGAGGGAGTGGGGTAAAATGACACAAAAAGGTAAGGATAGTATTAGACTAGTGACAGTTGCAGAAGAGGAATCAGTCAGGAGCTATTAACAGTTTAATCGATACGCTTTTATGAAGAAGTGGGTTTTTAATGATTTTTTTGAAAGAGTGGAGACTGGGTGAGTATCTAACGGAGGAGGGAAGCGAGTTCCACAGGAACGGTGCAGCCCTCGAGAAATCTTGAAGGCGAGCATCAGAGGTGGGAGTACGGACAGAAGATAGACGCAAGTCTTCAGCAGATCGTAAGGACATAGACGGGACATACTTGTGTATAAGGGAGGATTGATAGGTGGGAGCAGCATTATGTAGAGATTTGAAAGCAAGAACCAGAATTTTAAATTGAGCTCTATATTTTATAGGAAGCCAATGTAGGGACTGACAGAAGGGTGAGGCATTGGAGGTGTGGGAGGACAGGAAGATGAGCCTCGCTGCCGCGTTCATTATGGACTATAATGGCGCAAGTTGGGAGCACGTAAGACCACTGAGGAGCGGATTACAGTAGTCAAGGCGAGAAAGGACAGTGGAATGGACCAACACCTTAGTCGCATCTGGCGTTAAGTAGGGGCAGATGCGCGCAATGTTTTTGAGATGGAAATGACAGGATTTCGCGTTAGATTGAACATGAGGCTTGAAGGAGAGGTTGGAGTCAAAGAGAACACCTAGGCAGCAAGCCTGCGTGGTGGAGCTGATGGTAGCACCGTTGACTTGGAGGGAGACAGACACAGGAGTAACAACACTTGAGGGAGGAAAGACCAGAATTTTAGTTTTGGTCAAGTTTAGTTTAAGGAAGTGGGCAGAAAGGCATCAGATAAGAGATCTGCAACTTTTAGTACCCCATATGAAAAAATGCATAATTAAATGCAATGCGTGTTTTAATTTTGCAATGAAGTGTCCCTTTAATTTAACCAAGAGGTTACTGATATTTTCCAAGAATGCAATTTATTAGGTGAAAGTTATTATGTGTTCTAAGATGTGATACTGGGGTCCTTGGGTAGGTGCCAGTGTCAAAACCGCTATCTTCCCACAGTACTTAAAGGACCACTATAGGCACCCAGACCACTTCAGCTCAATGAAGTGGTCTGGGTGCCAGATCCTTCTAGTTTTAACCCTGCAGCTGAAAACATAGCAGTTTCAGAGAAACTGCTATGTTTACACTGAGGGTTAATACAGCCTCTAGTGGCTGTCTTACTGAAAATCACAGTGAGAAGACGCTGACGTCTATAGTAAAGCATTGAGTAATGCTTTCTTATGGGCGGCTTGAATGCGCGCGGCTCTTGACCTGCATGCGCATTCGACGCTGACGTTAGCAGGAGGAGGAGAGTTCCCCTGCGCAGAGGGAGCCCGGCACTGGGGAAAGGTAAGTGGCTGAAGGGGTTTTAACCCCCTTCAGCCCAGCAGGAGGGGGGCATGAGGATGGGGGGAACCTAAGGACTCCATAGTGCCAGGAAAACATGTTTGTTTTCCTGGCACTATAGTGGTCATTTAAGGCAAGCAATTTTCTAGATGTTTTGCTGGGCTATATAAACAGAGAAGCTGTTGCGAAACATTGACATGTTTACAGCTGGTGTTAATATAAGAGTTTAATATTGATCTTATTGGAACAAACCACTTGCATAATGTATTCCTCAACTGCATTGATTTAGTCTTAAATACCTACTCTGAAATATAAATTGTTACATTATTAATCCTTTAGAAAATTATATTGAACATATATAATAAAATCAGTATGAATTTAGCAATATTAGTAATCAAACAAATGTCATATGATTTAGACAGTGGGGAGTCACAGCTGCTGATTTGTGTGTTTTTCTTGGTTAATTTGATTACCACTACAGTGTAATCTAATTATACATCTCTTTCCATCTAGGGATACCTAATCTTCAAGAAGTTGAAGTAAAATTTGTTGACTTTGGTAATATTGCCAAAGTCAATATGAGAAAAATAAGAAGAATAGAAGAAGAATTGCTAAGATTTCCATGCCAGGTAAATGATCTTGTTTTATTAAAGTAAGTGGGTCAGCGCTCAGCCTCTTCTGACAGGGAGGGGGCGCATTAGGCATTGACTCAATGATTTTACTGATGCTGGAAAATCCATGAAATACATAGGAGAGCATTGCCTCAATGTAGGAGACCTGGAGTACATTAACATCCAGCAAGTGCCTCTAGTGGTGGTCTGATTGACTAGAGCAGGGGTAGGCAACCTATGGCATGTGTTGCACGGCACTAAGATTGATTGAACCAAACAGGCTCTGGCCCATCAGGAGTTACAGTCCCTGTGACACCATGCCACAGATTGATTAATTACAAACTGCCGTGTCATTTTTTCTGTTGGTGCACGGGAAGCCAGTACATGCTATGATTGCGGAATGTAATTGGCTCTTGCTGGGTGTCTCAAGCATGAGACATTCAGAAATTATGTTTGTGATCCTCCCCCCAGACTCTTTGCCTAGTATGCACTGATTAGTGCTTTAAAAACGGCTTCTGCACTTCTTCATAATAAGGGAGCCTGACAGTTCTGCTTCCCAATTAGCTTCTGTGTTATCTGTTCTCCCTAGCAGCCAGGCAATCATGGTAATCGCATGCCTTATTATTGTGGTAGAGACCCAGGATGAAAGTCAACCAAGGGGCAAGTCTATAAAATAGCCCAATGGTAGCATTCATTTGGGTTTAAAGCCAGTTTTGTGAATGAGGAGTCACTTATTAGCTGAGAGCGTCAGCTGACTGCTTTTAGGCAATCAGCTGCACTCAACGCTTCCTGGATGCCGCCAAGCGGGAGTGGACATGAACTTGATGGACGCAAGTCTCTTTTCAGCTATGTAACCGCTTGAGGTGAGAGTTCCTCCACGGGCTTCCTGGCACAATAACGACTAAATTTAGATTAAGTTGTTTTGGTGCCTGGAGTGTCCCTTTAAGTATATCAATGGATATCAGAAAAGAGTCCGATCTCTCCTTTAAAAAAAAATATTAGTATATAGGGTTACACATAAAGAGAAAGTGTCACATTATAGTGGAACAAACACAATAGAAATTCGCATTTTTATGGTCGGATCCTGTTACACCTCCCTATTTGTCACTCAGACAGCAGAGAAATGTTTCTTCCACTATTCTTAGCTTCCTGTGAGGTTATGCTTGTAATGCCCAGCATACATATTTCATTGTTAAACTGAAGAAATGTTACTATTAAATGTAATATACATAGTGGATACATGAATATATCACCTAATAGCATTGATATATCTGATTTCAGCATGAGTAGGGTTTATTTTGGTTGTATAGGAATGTGCTATGTGTCATATCACGTGGAAAGTTTTGCAAAGTGAATTCTTTCTTTGAAGCTTGGCTCCAACTATGTCCCAATTACAGGTGTGAAATTGTACTCCCAGATTGCATGTAGGTTTATCTTTTTATCTAGACTGGATGACTATACCCATTTGTCTGTGTTGCTTCATAGACCTTGGGCCCTTTTCATTTAAAAAGTGACCATTAACAAAATGACTCCCCAACCACAAACCCTTTTTAAAAAAATTAAATAGAAGACTTTCAGCCAAACCTTCAAGCTCTATAGGTATGAGAGCTTGGAGTCTTACTTCCCTGTTCTCTTACCGTGATGCATATGCGTATGCATAGTGCCGTCACGATCAGCCAGAGAAAATTATTGAATACAACGATTCTCTGTGGAAGAATCATATGTGCATAGAGGCAGGCGCCACGCATTCGCCTATGTCCCCCAGTGCTCCTCAATGAGAAGCATTGGATTGTCCCGTCATCCTGGAGGCGTCAGCCCAAGGAGGAGGTTACAGGAGCACCGAGAGAGACTCGGTGCTGAGGAAAAGGTAAGCAATTTGTTTTTTTTTAAATTTCTCGTGTATTTTAAGACACTTGAGAGGGGACCTATTTAAAAAGGGGGCATCAGGAATACTTTACAGTGTTCCTTTAAGTAAGTTGAGTCGTCCCGCGCTGTACTACTGAATTGTGGGCTTAAATGGCTGAAAGTAAGTGTTGCACATGGCCTTTTAAATTCATTGATGAAATCACAGCTGAGCGATCACACTGCTTTACGGAGACTCTGCAGGATCTGAATAGATTCTGGCTGGGTTCCCCAGCGAATTGTGATCGTGCTGTGATTTGCCAGCTACTGTGCAACGATCTCAATATGATCAGCAAGGAACCTCAGAATTACACTGTGTATTTATGAAAACAGCCTGTAGATGGTGGTCATAGACCACTATCTATTATGTTAAATAGTAAAACCCATTTCTAATAACAAAATTGATATTAGAAGTGGATTAACTTATGGTTAGGGATATGATAGGGTAAGGGTTAGCTATAATAGATGGTAGGGTAGGGGTAGGTTCGTGTTTATGGTTAGCTGTCGGGTTACGGTAATGTAAGGGTTAATGCTGGATTTAGGTTAATGCTGTTTTATGGGTATTGTAGGGTTAAAGGTAAGATTAGGACAGGCATGTGGTTAGAATTAATGTAAGCATCGGGTAAGTGGTATGGTTGGTATTGTGTTGGTGTGAGGTTTGGTATAGGATTAGCGTGAACTATCAAAAATAATTTAGATATATAAGGCATTTAACAATTAGTACTGATATATGAATCTATTTTGAGTTGTTTGACAAGGGCTCAGACGACTGGGTCAAAACATCTCCAAAACTGTTTTCTCATAATAATGTTTACACATCCAATGCAACTAATTACAAAGTCACTCAGATTTTTAGCTTGCCTATTTTTCCTGTTTCCAACATATTAAATTAAAGAACTGACTGTTCATTTGCTGCTGAATATATTCCACCCATTGATAGGTGGAATCAATGTTGTTAATGTCACCTGTCAGTGGTAGTAACCCCTTAACACCGTTACGGCGTTCTATGCCATCCCGCATTAAATGCACTTTAATGCCATTGCGGCTGCAAAGAACACTGTAACGGCTTGCAGCCCCAGGATGTCCGCGGTACTTCCCTTCACCGCGATCCTCTTCGGGAGGACTGCCTGGCAGCCCTCCCACAGCAAATCAGGCCCCTGGGGCCATGTGATCGCTCTCAAAGAGTGATCACATGGCCCCCTCTAGCTGGCTGTGGATCTGCCAGCAGAGGGACTCTCTGGGCTGTCAGACAGTCCCCCTGCTGGTGGGAGGTGTAAAAAAAAAAAAATATTATTAAACATGTTTAAAATAAATGTGTGTGTGTGTGTATATGAGAGGAGACATTAGGCTGTTAGTGTAGGACCTGCCAAAGATTGGGTACATTGACGTTGTGGCAGGCTTATGCAATGTATGATCATATAATATAACTAAACCCCCATTATTTTTGCCTAGATTAGGTGTTTTTAAAAAACTAATAAAATCTTTCAATATTGAAGTTGCTGTTTAGTGGATAGGTGAATGCGCTGGATCTTGTGTATTGTGTTATTTGGCCCCAGCAGCACCCCCATTTATGCATGTTCAGGTGAGTGCAGCCAACCTCCCCTTGTTTCGTGTGTGTGTGTGTATGTATGTGTGTGTGTGTGTGTGTGTGTATATGTATATATATATATATATATATATGTGTGTGTATATATATATATATATATGTATATATAAAAAAATATAAATAAACACAGGAACAGAGGATGTCCCTGCACTCAAGCTAAACATAAATAAGTAAATTGCCGGGTGCAAGCCAAGGCTCAAATGTATCCAGAAAAAGCAACAAATGTAGCTGCACTCATGGTCTGTAGTTAAAATCTTCAATTCTCTATTGGTTCATTTTAAAATTGGATCGACGTTTCAGTCCCCCTTGTCGACTTTCCTCAGGATCAGAACATCTCAAAGAGGGCCAACCAATTGATTTCCTTTGTGGAGTGGTGGGTGGGGCAACCGGAAGTAACCAAGCGCTGTCAGCAAGGTATGGAGGTAAGTAGTGGGTTTATATAGGCCGGTTGCAACCCCTCCCACAACTCCAGACTCCGCCTTCCCATTTGTGGTCAGGGAAGAAGGCCGTATTTATGTGGACCTATACCTCTAATCGTAAGTATAATATACTAAGTCGGTTATAGTGTGCCGAAACCGACGTACGGGTTGGCCTGTAAATAAAGAAGGCAAAAGAGAAGTATCAGTTCCACACTTTAATACATATGCACATACATTATTACCCGAGCTTTCCTATTTTGCCAATTGTTTAAAAGCTTGTCTCAACTCTGGTTGAGGTATGTAACGATGGTCACAAATACAAATCCAGTTCTTCTCTACGATGGGGAAAACTGGTGCATACTACGTCTATATATATGCCAAAAGCTAGGACGAACTCCGGTATGGTTAATTTTTTACTTAGTCTGGGGTCTCTAGCTTTCATCACCACTGACAAATCCCCGTAATTATAAGTCTTATTTTCTGCCACGTCTTGAGACGCTATTAATAGGGAAATAAGGTTGACGTCTTTTCCCTAATGTTAGGAGGTACCAAGTGTGCTGGTGTGACGATGTGAGTGTTAGGATTTTGTGCGATTTGTGCCCCTGCCACATTACCCTGTGCTGCTATGTGTTCAATATCAGGTGTGAGATTGATGTCGGGTGCCACGATAATTGGCTCAGGAACTTCCAGTCTGTCCATTCTCTGGCTGATATTACTAATGGACGCCAGGATAGATGTCATGGTGGCTTGCAGGCCTGCTACGGTTTCGTTCATATTGTCGTGTGAGCTGGTTCCTGGTTGAGGGGTCTCGGTGGTTGTCATCATAATCCTATATAGCTCAGCTTTCCTAGCAGTGGCCGGATATGGTACACCCCTACGTCTGAGTTCAGCAGCAATTTTAGGAATTGTCCATGACCTCAACGAACAAGGGCTATCTATGTTTTCGGCTGTTGTTGGGACCGTCGTAGGGGTGGGTGGTCTAGCTGGCGTGCTGGGAGGGGAGATGTCTTCTCCTATGTCGGAGGCGTGAGACATCCTATATGAATGACAAAGGGTTTGATGTGACTTATTAGTAAGTTGTAGTAGATAACGAGGTGGGCGAGGCCCTGCTACTTGCCGCTGATTTTTATTTATTTTTTTCTATGATTGGTATACAACGTACTGCAATTCGTGTGTTTTTAATGCCGTGTTCGTGAGTTTGACCTTGTTAGATCCGTGTGGTTAGTACTGATATAAGGCGTTCGTGGATTAAGACTTATCCGTATGTGCTCCCACCGCCCGCGTCATTTGGCTGTTATGTGATTCGTGCGTAATTCCCGTTCGCTCAGTTGTTCTGAAATGTGCAGTACTTGTGATTGATATTCCCCCCTATTTCTTATTGTATCTTGTTCGTGTGTTTGGTTGTTCGTATGACCGTACTCACGATTTCCGGTATCTTGAACCCGGAAGTGCGACCTGGCGCTCCGGAAGCCGTGGTGCCGTGGGCAACCTGCGAGCCCGCCGTGAACGATGGCTACCTGCTACCGCCGTTTGTGCAGGCCTGTTTGTGCACCACCCTCAGGGTCCTCCTGCCGGGCTGGATGGAGAGGAAATGGTTAAACGTACCTCTTTCTCCAGCGCCGGGCGTGGAGCTCTCCTCTTCCTCTACTCCCTCTTCTCCTCCTCTTCGGCTGCATGCGCGGCAGGAGCAGTGCGTGCATTCAGCCAGTCCATAGGAAAGCATTCACAATGCTTTCTTATGGACACTGGC